GCCTCAACCGTTCCTTTTGAAAGATTGTTCCAGTCCCTGATTGTCTTGGGCAGGAATGAGCAGCTCCTATACTGGCTTCTTGCTGGTATGAGCCTGAATTGCCTGTCATGGCCTCGTCGCTGTCTATGGGGGAGAGGGACGAGTTTCTGTTTAATACTGGAACAGTGGACCAGCCCATTATTTATCTTGTACATCATGGAGAGCCTGGATTGTCGTCGTCGTTCCTCCAATGGTGACCAGCCTAGTGTTTCTAGCATGCTGCCAACACTAGAGGTATTCCTGTAGCGGTTTAGGACAAAGCGTGCTGCTCGTCGCTGGACCGCCTCCAACCTGTCCATGCTCTTCTGGGTAAATGGGTCCCAGACTGAAGATGCATAATCTAAAATCGGACGGACAAATGCTTTATATGCTCTTTCTTTCACACAGGAGTTGCCAATCTTTAGATTTCGCCTTAAGAACCCCAGGGTCTTGTTTGCTTGGTTACATACATTGTTAATATGCTTGTCCCAGCGGACCTCTCTTTGAATGGTAACACCCAGGTACTTTATGGAGGACACTTGCTCAAGAATATGGCCGTGCAGTTCGTATTGATAGTGTAGAGGAGTACAACTTCTAGAGATTGATAGTGTCTGGCACTTGGCAGGGTGAAATTCCACTGGCAACCCTATGGATGAAACACTGGCAACCATATGCTTGAAACTGGAAACTCTTTGCATGACACACTAGCAACACTATGAATGACACACTGACAACCCTATGTATTACACACTGACAACCCTATGTATTACACACTGGCAACCCTATGCATGACACATTGGCATCCCTAAGTATTACACACTGGGAACCCTATGCATGACAGACTTACAACCCTATGCATTACAAACTGACAACCCTATGCATAACACACTGGCAGACCTATGCATGACACACTGGAAACCCTATGTATTACACACTGGCAACCCTATGCATGACACACTGGCAAACCTATGCATAGCCCACTGGCACCACTATGCATGACACACTGGCAACCCTATGTATTACACACTGGCAACCCTATGTATTACACACTGGTAACCCTATGTATTACATACTGGCAAACATATGTATTACACACTGGCAACCCTATGTATTACACATTGGCAAACCTATGTATCACACTCTGGCAACCCTATGTATTACATACTGGCAACCCTTTGAAAGACACACTGGCTACCCTATGTATTACACACTGGCAACACTATACATGACACACTGGCAACCCTATAAATTACACACTGGCAACCCTATGCATGACAGACTTACAACCCTATGCATAACACACTGGCACCACTATGTATGACACACTGGCAACCCTATGTATTACACACTGGCATCCCTATGCATGACACACTGGCAACAATATGTATTACACACTGGCAACCATATGTATCACATACTGGCAACTCTTCGCAAGACACACTGGCTACCCTATGTATTACACACTGGCAACCCTATTATAGACACACTGGCAACCTTATGTATTACACACTGGCAACCCTATTTATTACACACTGGAAACCCTATGCATGACACACTGACAACCCTATTTATTATACACTGGCAAGCCTATGTATTACACACTGGCAACTCTGTACATGACACTCTGGCAACCCTATTTATTACACACTGGCAACCCTACGTATGACACACTAACAAACTTTATCAACTGATTACAATGAATAATAATTATTCCGAATCGAATGCCATCTTTTATCCCAGCAATGGATTGGTCACATTTCTTCTAAATTATATTAATTGTAAACACAAAACCCTGTTAATGACCAAACACAAACCCTGTTAATGACCAAACACAAATTCTGTTATGACCAAATACAAACTCTGTTATGACCAAACACAAACGCTGTTAATGACCAAACACAAACTCTGTTAATGACCAAATACAAACTCTGTTAATGACCAAACACAAACCCTGTAAATGACCAAACACAAAACCTGTTAATGATCAAATACAAAACCTGTTAATGACCAAACACAAACTCTGTTAATGACCAAACACAAACTCTGTTATGACCAAACACAAACTCTGTAAATGACCAAACACAAACCCTGTTAATGACCAAATACAAACTCTTTTATGACCAAACACAAACACTGTTAATGACCAAACACAAACTCTGTTAATGACCAAACACAAACCCTGTTAATGACCAAACAAAAACTCTGTAAATGACCAAACACAAACCCTGTTAATGACCAAACACAAACTCTGTTAATGACCAAACACAAACTATGTTAATGACAAAACACAAACACTGTAAATTACCAAATACAAACCCTGTTAATGACCAAACACAAACCCTGTTAATGACCAAACACAAACACTGTTTATGATCAAACACAAACACTGTTACTGACCAAATACAAACTCTTTTATGACCAAACACAAACACTGTTAATGACCAAACACAAACTCTGTTAATGACCAAACACAAACCCTGTTAATGAC